ATATAGCTAGAGCATTCAATGGTTAATAAATTTTAAGAATTCGATCTAATTATATATTCCCTTGAGGATAAGTTAGTGCTGATTTAATTATAAAAGTAATTTGGAAATCAAGAAGAAATCCACTATCAATAATTAAATTGATAACTAAATATATAATTCACCTTTTTAATGTACGATTGGGTTAAAGCAACCAACTTTAAGCAGCAAGAAAAGCCACAAAAATAGCAACTCAGCTCCATAATTGCGGAGAATATTTTATCAAAGGATACTCAGAGCAGCTCTGCATTTATGAAAAGTTAAAGCTACTTTGATCCTCACACTTAATGGAGAAGTCTGCCAATGTAAAAATCTCTCAGTGTGTTTGAAAGGGGATAATAAGCGCAATCAAGCGTTGCTCCATTCATAGAAAACAATAATTAAATTTAGAAAGATCTGATAGGATAATGAAGGCAAGAGTCTCGTTAGTATAAACAAGGAAAGTTCGATGAAACTGAAAAGTTAAAAGCAAGATTTAGTTCTTAAAATTAAACAAATGTCAAGAATACAGCAAGTGGCTAGTAATATCAGTTTCAGCTAAGTCCTTACATGAGCTTATCTAAATTTAATCAATTTAAGCACGTAAAACATTACGATTTAAACAAATTTCTCAATGATTAAAAAGAAAGAGATAGCAAGAGAACTTTCAGGAAAGCTGATTTTTCTAACATATCAATTTCTAAAAATGACAAGATAAATCATCTATTTTAGAAGACAGCATAAATTTTTAAGAATTCTTCAAGTGCTTCAAATTTTTCAAGGAATGAGAATTTTTCATCGAAGGAGATGAACATCATAAAGAATATGGAAATCATTTCAGATGACTTGCGTGCATCACAGTAATAGAATTACGGATAAAAATTCAAAATTAAAAACAATAAAAAGAATAAAATATAAAAATTTGATTATACCAAGCAAGAACCTCATGAAGGTGAGCCTCAGGTATAAATTGTAGAAAATGATAAAGAACAGTTCCCTGAATTAATTGCTATGAGGGGATTCACCCCAAAGACAATTGACTATAATCTGAAAGCATAAACCTTTGTTCATGGATCAGGATTAGACCAAGATTTAATCGGCACTCCAGCTGATTTCGATAGCTAAGGTAGAAGAGTCTCTTTTAATCATAATTTAATGAGCCCTGTATTAAAGTAATATAAAAGTAGCAATACTAATAAATATTCAACAATTGAGCTTATCAATAGGTAGAAATTTTTTGAAGCTAGAAATAGCAAACAGAAAATAAAAAATTCAACCTGCAGAGAACCCTTTAATGCAAAATAATCATAAGGTACTAAATCTAAGATCTCTAATAATAATTCTTAGCCCGATTTACAAAAGTCAAAACCTTTGTCTTGATAATTAAATAGAAATGGCTAAGACTCAATCTAAATTGATTAATTTAAGTTAATACCCCCCAATGAGGATGAAAAGTAGCTGATTCAACAAAAAATTTAACTTCTTTAATTAAAAATGAGAGTAAGAAAGCCTAGTCTAGCAACATCTTAGAAGAAAATGAATAATCTAAAAGGACTTAAGTTGAATCCAAATGACCTTATTACCAATTCTGAAATTATGATGGATTTGGTATAGAAATCAATAAGCAGCTAAAGCAGTCCTTCTAAAATCAGGACTATGACAAATTAGACTAGTAGACTTCAAAAAATTGAAAATCCTCCGATGTTTTAGGAGCCTGACTCACCAATTCCAACAGGAAATAAATTTCATGAAGATAGATTAAACATTTAAAACTTAAATTTGAGATAAGCATATTCTAACAAAGAAAAAGAAATTTAAAAAAATGAAAAAGCAACTGTTGAAAGCCCTGTAAAATTATAAGAAGGTTACATAGTAACAATAAACATCGGGACTGATGCTTAAAATTCATTCAATAATAAAAATGAAAAAAGTATATCTTAATCATTAAGAAAATCCTATACAACTATTAACCAAAGATAATCGGTTATAATTACAAATAAAGGTCTTTCTCCAGAGTTATTAAAGCAATTTTAAGGTCAGTACCATCTTAGTAAGGAAAAAGTTAAAGAAAAAATGTTGGTGTTCTAATCTTAAGATGATTGTGTAACAGAAGAAGCTGAGTCATTAAATTATACCAATGATTAGCTTTCAAGTCGAAGAAGTGCTAGAAGTCTTAAAAATTTCAATAGATATAGAAGTGAGCTTGACTTATATAGACATATTTCAACTCCTCCAAAAGCTCTAGATAGTTAAATGTTAGGAGAATATTTACAAAAAATGTTTATGTAAACAAAAAACAAAGTTTTGCTTTCACAAAATTAAGAGCTCCAAGGCTATAAATATGAAAATAACATGAAAAACTTTATTGAGAAAAATAAAGATGTAAAGTTGCTTATCAATTAAAAAATTGTTACGAATTTAAGAAGATTACTTAATCAAGAAAAAAGCCTTTGGATGAGTTGAATTTAGTTTAATGATTCATAATTGCAATGTTAATTATTATTTAGAAAAAAGAATTATCATAAAGAATTTATTTTTAGATTCAGAAATTTTACATTGCGGGGTTTTGGGGTTTTGGGGTTTTGGGGTTTTGGGG